GGTCTCCTTTACTAGCCTGGTGTCTCCATTAAAGGTCTGGTCTGGATTTTATAACAGTTTGGATGTATAAAACAAATATAAATGTTAAAACTTGCAATATGGACGCTACACATCATTAGTTCAGTAAGATTCTCCACGAATTCCATCCAATTCACTTCATTTTACACAAACTATCAAATCATCAAATCATTAAATCAATCATTCCTAATTGATCTGATCTAATTATATAATAAATAATATTCATACTGGTTTGAATAAACAGTCTGACATTATTTCCATATTTGCTGAACAAATACAATTAAAGGCCTGTCCCAGGTTGAGATCAGTGACTGAAGCAAATAAAAGGATTTTAAGTTTTACGATGTAATGCTAAACATTTGTTGTTAATGATGTTATGATGATGTCATCAGGTTGCGGCTCTCCAGCCATTCCTCCAGTCATTACCGGATACTCTCGTATTGTGAATGGTGAGGAGGCGGTGCCTCACTCCTGGCCCTGGCAGGTGTCCCTGCAGGTAAACACACTGAAACTACTCAGACAGTTGGTTTATATTAATAATAATAATAATAAGAAGAAGGTATACTTTAATATACAGTATATGTATAATGAAAATACAAACATCATTATGGAGCATTCAAACCAGCATAAAGACTGAATACAGTGTGATGTATCTGTGTGTATCTTGTGCCCTTGCAAACCACCACAAAGCTTTGGTGACCCCTAGTGGGGGTCCCGACCCCCAGGTTTGAAACCACTGCTTCAGACCAATCAGGTGAAATGTTCTCATAATCGTTACCTCATTACTTTGGGTCTCTGTTTCAGGATTACACCGGCTTCCACTTCTGCGGCGGCTCTCTCATCAATGAGAACTGGGTTGTGACAGCAGCTCACTGCAATGTCAGGTACCTCCACCATGTCACCTTCATCATGTCACCTTTATCCTGCCACCTTCATCCTGCCACCTTCATCCTGTCACCTTTTATCCCTCCACCTTCATCCTGTCACCTTCATTCTGCCACCTTCCTCCTGTCACCTTTATCCTGACACCTTCCTGCTGTCACCTTCATCCTGTCACCTTCATCCTGTCACCTTCCTTCTGCCACCTTTAGCATGTCACCTGTAACTTTCACTGTATGAAAGTTTGAATCATTGCATATAGTAGGTAAAACATGGAACATGCTCCGTGGTCACATGAAGCTCCGCCTCCCATCAGATTTTAAAGAACAAAATAGCCGCCTCATGTTTCTTTCCTTGTCCCTGCAGGACATCCCACCGTGTGATCCTTGGAGAACACGACCGCTCCTCCAACGCTGAGGACATCCAGGTCATGAAGGTTGGCAAGGTGAGTGACAAACAGCTTCTCCTCTCCTCACGCCATCTTCCTGCACGTTCGCCGCTCATTACAATGTAATTTCCTGTCAGGTGTTCAAGCATCCCCGCTATAATGGCTTCACCATCAACAACGACATCCTGCTCATCAAGCTGGCCAGCCCTGCCCAGATGAACATGCGTGTCTCCCCCGTGTGCGTGGCCGAGACCGGAGACAACTTCCCCGGAGGCATCAAGTGCGTGACCAGCGGCTGGGGCCTGACTCGTTACAATGGTGAGAGCACCAATCAGAGCATAGAGCATGAAGCAGTTGAACCACTAGGAGGCAGCATCAGCTCAGACTGTGATGTGTTTGTGTTGCAGCTCCTGACACCCCTGCCCTGCTGCAGCAGGCCGCCCTCCCACTGCTGACCAACGAGCAGTGCCGTCAGTACTGGGGCAGCAAGATCACCAACCTGATGATCTGCGCTGGAGCTTCTGGAGCTTCCTCCTGCATGGTGGGTGGCGCAGACATACAGCAGACATCACGGTGTCAATCCCCAGTTCCTCTGCTCATTCTCTCTGTTGTTGTTTCAGGGTGACTCTGGCGGTCCTCTGGTCTGCCAGAAGGCCGGAGCCTGGACTCTGGTCGGTATCGTGTCCTGGGGCAGCGGAACCTGCACTCCCACAATGCCTGGCGTGTACGCCCGTGTCACTGAGCTCCGCGCCTGGATGGATCAGACCATCGCTGCCAACTGAGCTTTCAGACAGCTATAGTTTCAAACTGATCATCAATAAAAGACAGAAACTGTGAGACAGACAAGTCGTTGTCATTTGTGGGTTCAGACTGAAAGTAAAGAATTAATTCTACAGTTTGTCTTCCTCTCTGAGAGAAATAACAATAAACAACAGTTGGACAAACTACGGTCAGGGTTCCACTCTTTTTAACAAATAATTTTTCACGTCCTTTCCAGGACTTTTCCCCAGAGATTTCTTTATTATCCAGGACAGCACTTGCTTACAAACAGTTGACACTGATCAGCAGTAACACTGTGAGCACTGGACTCCCTGACTGGTCCCAGACCAACAGACTGCTCTGCACTGTGTGTTCT